AACCCTCATTTCTATCCACGCAGCTTCATACTGTGAAAAAATAACTGCTGCAAAAAAAATCCTCTTTCATGAATGTGATAATGTTCAGTTTAAGGGATGTGTTAATTGAACCGTATGATTACTCTGGAAGATATAGTTTGTGCTGCTGTTGAACTGTGTTATGCTGACAGGAATTTCTATTTTGTCCAAACCACTTATACCAGTGAGGCTAGGCTAAATAACAGCAGGTCTTCTCTGATGTAAAGACACCAACATGAAGAGAGGATTTATTGCAGGACTTTATCTAAAACCATGTTGGTGTTGGCTTTTAATAAAGGGAAAATACACCAGCCCACCTGAAGCCAATCTGGTTTATGTGGTCTGTCTCCAGCAGCATTTTCCATAGCAGGCAGAGAAACAGAGGGGGTGAACCCTGCATGGAGAAGTGGGTAATGATGTCGTTCTCATTGGCCATAGACTTCCACTTCCTGTACTCCTCTTCAACGTTCTTCTTCAGGTTGAAACGAGACTCTTGAGGAACATTGTTCTGTTTGAAGAATGCCTGATGGGAAGAGAGAAGAGGAAGCAACAGCAGTGGTAAAGAATCTGATTTGAGAAAGAGCAAAGTGAAAATGGCAGTCTGTTGGTGTCATTCCTCCCTAAGTGTACCTGTAGTGGAGCAGGAAAGCAGGACAGCGTGTGTGAAGCCCAGTTATGAGGCGTGAAGGTCATAATGGTCTGGAGAATGTCTTTACACCAAGTCCCTTGGATGGAGTCTGATCCTGTGAAAAAGTCTACACACAGACAAACAGCGGCTGACTACAGCAATTAAAAAATATATACACACACATGCTGTTTTCATTCCTTGTGGGGACTTTACATTGACTTACATTCATTTCCTGTAGACTTGTCCTAAACCACTACTTACCCAACCCTAACCTCATCCTAACCCTAAACCATGTTGCCACCCTAGAATTCAGTGATTTTGGCCATCCTTGTGGGGACCAGAAGCTAGTCCCTACAGTCTGTGTGTGAACAAACCAACAAATGGTAGTGAAAACCTAACCTCATTGGCAGAAAATAAAAAGCAAGTGAGGAACAAAAAAAGAATTAAATCCAAAGGAGCAAATAACATAAGCAGCTACCAGTGACATGTGTGGCTCTGGCTAAGGTGAGGATCAGGGCTCGGTTCAGTTCCTCAGACTCGGCCGACAGAACGGTCTTTGGGTCGTTGAGGAAGCGGGTGAACTGGGGCTGCACCTCTGAACTCCCCAATGCTGTGATCAACCGCAGAGCTGTGCTCTCAGTGCTGGGGATAGAGACAAAGGCAGCAAGACAGATAACAAGAGACCATTAGCAGCTTGACCATTTCTTTAATAACCATCTTCAGTTGTAACTTAAAAAGTAGTGTTTGTAACAGATTTGACTGGTTTTACACTGGTTTTAAAACAGAGTTAAGTACTATGACTGAACTATTACCTTCCCTTACAGCTGAAGATTTGGATTTCTTTCATAAACAAATTGACAATAATATTTCAGAAGTAATCAGAAAGAGGACTTATGAGGCCAACACTTAAAAAAGCCTTTATTCTTGAACCTTTCCACTTATCCCCAAAGTTAAAGAAAGTCACCAACTCTAAATTCATATACATAATCTTATTTTCCATTGTTGCTAATAGCAGAGATCCTGATGGAGGCGATATCTGTACTTGGAACTGAGAGTAACAATACTAGCTGAAACAGAGAGCAGTTTTAACAGAAAAGGTTTCACTAGATGCACAAGCCATATCATTCAAATCAAAAATCATTACACACACACACACACACACACGGAGAAGCTGGGTGATTCGTGTGTTAGAGCAACCTGTGATCCTGTCATCACCAGCATCTTGGAGAGAAAATAAGCTGCACACACTGCAGTGCTGGAGTGGTTGTGTAGTTATACAGTCTAGTGTGCTGTGATGTTTGAGTTTTAGAAGTAATAACAGACCAGCAGTGACAGTATCAGTAATCATCAGTGAGTTATAGTATGTGTTTTGGGTGTGTGTGTTCACATTACCAAAGATGCAGCTGATTTTGGTTGGTCTGGGGTACGGCAGCCAGACTGTGCAGATGACTCAGAAGCTGGATTCTGTAGTGCGGCTGGATGTGGTGCATCCTGTAGCTGAACATCTCCAGCAACGTGTGAAGGATTCCCCACGCATGAGACTTGAACACATTGGGCAACAACTGGCCTGAACAGACACAGTGACATTATTCAGCATGTGTCTGCTGACAGCTGATTCTTGCATCCATCTCACACTGCTCAATAATCTGCATGTTTATCCTTTGTGCACTGAACACTGTGATACTCAAGGACTAGGGATGTCCCAATACAGATACCAGAATCAGGTCCAATACCTCCCTCTAGTACTCACACTCATTAAAGTTGTCCAATGCTACTTAACAGCAACATTACCTTAACCTCCAGCTGGTTGAGCAGGTTGTTAGGCGGAGGAAATGAAATTTTAGCAGTTTAGAGTTTAAGATAAATGACGATGACAACAAGCTGACTGCAAGCTCTGGTTCTCTGCTATCACAGAGCTGACTGCAAGCTCTGGTTCTCTGCTCTCACAGACACACACACACACAGCGTGTGTATTCAAATAGTTGTGAATGAGAAGAAAACATGCTCAAATTTTATGCAGTTAATGGTTGAGTCTAATGAGCTGTGTATATGACACCCCACTGAGCAGTTGTAAACTTAGAGGCTGAGACCAAACAGCTCCTGTACAGCAGCGCAGGTATGTGTCCTGCAGGGTGCAGGTCAGCATGCACTCTGTTTAATTAAAAAAAAGCTAACTGCTGACTATAGCATGGTGTGTTTTTTTGGTGTTCTGGGCAGAGCTATTGCAAAATCATTTCATCCTAAAAGAGGGCTGCACATATACAAAGGCTAAAAACCAATGTATTATAAAAACCTATGTTGTATATTAGGCTACAGAAATTTATCCAGTTATATGTTATACGTAATTGGAGTGGTGCCACTGCCATGTTTGTTTTAAATTAATTTGAACCACATCTTGATGTTTGTTATTTAATCACAATCACAAAGTAAATCTCATGAATATGAAAACTGTCTCTAAAGCCACAGCACTTTTAAGGTAATTTTAAATTTACAGTACAAACGCTGTTATTGAGTAGGTTTTAATCAGCAAGTATGCCAATGTAAGTACTCGGGCTCAGTCTGAAAAAAGTGGTTTTTGTACATCCCTGTCAAGGAGAGCTATTATTCTTTAGGGAATGACCTGATGCTAAAATGAGGCACATATTTTTACACTTTGTGCTTTCTACATCTGACATTAACAACCGTTCAGCAAAATGGGCATTTCTAGCAAATTAAAATGTACTCACTGATGAATCCTTTAATGCCCAATGACTCGATCTCCATATAGACCAACAGTCTGCTGTATGTTTCTACAAGTGCAGGGGCCAGGGCAACACTAGACTTAGCTTGGGCCAACTTTATCACTCGAGTGGCAATGCTATGGATGAGACTGGACAAACAGGCAGCCCGGTAAGTAGAATTACAGAGAGGAAGACAAGAACATATGCATCTTCAGAATATATTTGTGTACCTCTCTGTTTCTTGATCATCTATGCAGCCATATTTATGGTTTAAAAAGGATCAAATTTTCATAATAAACAGTTTGCCCCTACCTCATCTTTGCATGGACTGTGAGTGAATCCAGCAGGTTCATAGGCAGAGGGGGGACAGATCCCGAAGCCACACAGTTGGTGCCGGGTAGGGGGATCCTCATAGATCCGTTGCCATAGATGGCCTCTACCAGGACACCCATCGGCAAGGCGAAGTATTCTGTGTTGGTGCTGTAGGCATTACACAGCAAAACGATCTTATAGTCGTTCATGCCGAGGTTCTTGTTTCGCAATGACTGCTGGAGAAACCTAAAAGATGTGAGAGGGCGAGGCTAGCATAAGCTTGCAGTCATGGTAATGCACAGTTTTTAGGCATTTGTTGCCATAAAGTACATATTTCACACACAATTTTAAGATACATACTCATGTTGTAGTTTCAGAGAGTGTGGTATTGGTATCTGTAGTTTGGAGTTGTCGTTCTGAGCTTTGCGGTTCAGGTGAATCCAGATGCAGGTCATAGCAAAGGAATGAGTTGACTGGGGCTTGCTAATGTCAGGAACTGGGATGCACTGAAGAGGGAAATTTAAAAAAATTTGATGATAATCAAAACAGACATAACACTTTTACTACTATTACTCATTAACAATAAATATCACAGGTCATCAAATTAATCAATTTGTCCAACGCGCACCTCTTTTTCTGGGTAAAGCAGGTCAAAGAGCTTCATGACAGGCAGGAAGTCGCCTAAGGCATTCTTCAGAATGCTTCCAGATATAAACTGCAGCAGGACCCACATCAGGTGGTCTCTCCCTTTAATAAGACCTCTGCCTGCAAGCTGCAAATGAAACATTTGTGAAAGAGAAAACACTGATTTCACAATTTAAGTAAAAATAAACTAAAAATAGTATTCTACTCTTTGCTCGTGTTGAATATTCAGCTTCGTTTTGTTATGCCTAAAGAGCTTGTACAATATTTGGTTAACTTAAGGATTGTTTACATGTGAGAGGAGTTGTTTTAACTCTGCACCAAAAATGAGTATACATGGTTTTTGACAATCATGTTACTGCCTGACTTGCACATTGGTTTGACAGTGAAAATACAATTCCAACATGATTAACAATATGGACCAATGCAACAACACACCATCTGCTGACATGGTTTTAAATGGCACAAATGTTTTCCATATGTGTGACTGCTACTCCATCAGGGATCATTAACCCTCTCTGTGTCCTCCTCATTCTTCCTCACCTTCTGATGTAATGACAGCACCATGTGTGGGAAGCTTGCAAACTGAAACAACACAAAGAAGATGAGCTGGGATGAGAGATGCTGCCACAGCAGTTGGCTGGTTCCTCCGACATCGGCGTCAAAGTATTCCTCCGTCTCAGAGCGCTCCATGGCGTACACCACCAAGTCCACCAGCTGCTCCTCTAGCACCGGGCAACGCTGCTTAAACTGGCAGGGGAGGAGGGGAGTGTTAACAGATGGTAAGGAGGTTAAACAGAGAAAGGACAGAAATAAACAGAAAAACAAAAAGCGGTGAAGAAAAGGACAGAAGGAATGAGAGAAAAAAGAAATGTAGGCAGGGGGACAGAAAGAGGAGAATCATCATCAATATATACTTCACACATAAAACTTTAAGTTAACAGAAGCTCCAGCAATTGTTAGAAACTGACTTTGACTAAAACCTTTTCCTGTCCCTTGCATGCAGGACTGCATCTCCATACTGTCACCACATTCCTACATTTACTCTTATTCCTAAAAGAGCATAGAAATTTAAGTGTCCACACAGCTCCGGTAATTTACCTAATTGCAATTTGGACTTTGAAAAGTCTCTGTCAAATACTGTGGGTTTGACACAAAGTGAGTAAACCAATCACAAGAGACGTTTCTTGTGCCTGTGGGTAGTTATGGCATTTGGGTTGTGATCAGCAAACTCACAAGCTATGAGAATCATATCAAATCCAGACAAGTAATGAGTAAACTTAGAAACTGAAAGAAGACGAGTAGTTTTAGAACATCTACCAAAGGACTGCAGTTGAAAATTAGCTGGCTACAAGCAGCACATTTACAGAAATGCAAATGAATGTGTGTTGTCCTTATAAATTAACAAATGAAATGAAAGCACTACTGAAATAAATGGGATATTAAAATTGGCACAGCTATCAAATTATTCTACACTTTAAACATCATTACCACACAAACTCTACTATAATCATTTTAGAATAATGAAAGAAAGGCAAAAGGACATGAAAGATAAGAGGAGTAAGGGAATCAAGAGAATGTTAGAAAAACGGCTAGAGAGAGGGGAGCCAGGTTACAAAGATAGAAAACCAATCAGTGAATGGTTTACTGCAGTTTCTGCCCAATAACAGTATAAACACCAACTTCAGGCCATGTAGTCAGTGCACATGTTCAAATGTACTGTACATTCTGCTGCATGAGCTAGAGTTGGCATATGATGCAGATGACTGTGTAGACAAGGTACTATAAAACAATACTGGATTGGAACTTTATCTATAGAGCTCAATGTTGAATTCCATGAAGAAACATTTAGTTTACCCATTAGTGACTAAGTAGGAGTGAAAATCTCTGCACTGGAGGACATAAATGAGACCTTTTCACACAACTGGGACACAGCATAGCGAGGGACTGAAGAGCATAGCACAGAGCAGTACACTGGACAGGACAGGACGGCACAGCG